ACAGTCGGCGCAGCATTACTTCAGTCTTCGGGTTTTGGTCACGTGACAGCCGAATACCTTCGTAGCCAATCGGAAGCGATTCGGGTATCACGTGACCAGAAACCGAAGACAGAAGTACAGTCGCCTCGCTATAAGAAGTAACTTGAACATTGCGCGTTAAGAAAATAGTCCCTACCATCGTGATGGACTAACTTCTAGTCTAACCATCGCACGGCTGAAAACTAAATACTAAATAATGGACCAAACTTTATCGTTGAGCACTGGATGATTGCTGTAACAAGACAGTTGCGTTTAGACACTTTAATAAGAATTTTTGCGTACAGCTATTGCTCCGCCAGGTTACTCCTTATAGCGAGGTGACTGTAAGAGGTTGTCCAGTTATAGTGAGTCTAGCCTAAGGTCCCACTTTTCGAAGCAGCATAGGAGATCGCAGGCGAGAGGGGGAGAGGAAAAGTGTGACCTTAGGCTAGTCTGCCTATAAGACGGATCCGTGCGGATCCGTGCGGATCCGTGAGTGATCCAGGCCCTACTGCAGACTGATTCCGAAGAGAACTCAAGGGGCGCGGCTCTATGAGTGCGAAAAGGACGGAGCTATACGGAAGGTATAGGAGAGGGTTCTTCGGAATCAGTCGGCTGGGGTAACCGCTACGTACCCCTGCGAGGGACGCGGCCCACCCTGCGGCCTCGTGCTACCCCCGCGGGGGGGTTGCACGACGTACCCCCGAGGCATCGCGTCCCCCCGCGTCACCCCGAGTCCTTCGTGGGGCTACATCACGCAACCCCAAGTACCCCTTCATGTGTACCTCTGAAGCCTGTTCCTCTTGGAGGCACATTCTTCCCAAATCTTAGCATATCGATGAGGTCGGAGAAAATTAGGTCGGACGAAACCGAGGTCGGAAAGCACTTTAGGGGATTTTAGAAAAATCACCAGGTCGGAGAAAAATAGGTCGGACAATCTAAATACACCGTGGGGTTCTGCACCTCGCGAGCTCCCTTGCAGAGAGGCCCGCCTGCGGGGCCGGCGGTAGGCAACCCATCCGGCACGAGTGCGGCCGTGCGGCCCGACCGCAGGCTGCCCCGCAAGCACGGTGCGTGTGCGGAGTGTTCTCGCCAAGACCAGAACTCTGTCTGTACAGGCGCGGTTTTATATGGGGGGGGGGGGCGAAGGATCGACTCCCCCCCCCTGTCAGCCTAAATCACCTCCTATGGTAGGTAGGCAATTTGTCCTACACAACCCCTGTAAATAGGCAACCTGCAGTAAATCGCCCCCTTCCGTCAGCTGGACTTAAAAAACGCGCCGGTGTCTATCGGTCAGTTCATATTCTAATAAATCATTACAAATTATTTTGGGCGTGACGAACCCTTCTTCAGATATCGTCGTGCGGAAGGAGAAATTTCCATATTTGTCCCCACCGAAGGGACTGGAGAGGCAACGCGCCTGCAGTCGCGGGGGTGCGGTACAGTAGCATAGTTCTGACAATTAATTTTGGCAAGTCGGCCGGTAACAGTTTCACCCCGGTGCGCGGTGCGCCGCCCCGCTACGGCCACATGACGTGATGTACAATGCTCGTGGAAGTGGTCTTGTTTTACGGTTTAATGCCAAGGATTAGGGCCGTGCGCGCGGGGCGTGGCGTGGAGGAGAGGGGTGGGGGGGTGCTACCGTGTAACGGTGGACACTGAAAGACGATCCACGCCGGCTCGCGGGGTCACAAGCGGCACATTACTCGCGTAGCGCGGCAGCGGGGCGGCATGGAGCGGCCC